TTTTCAATAAACTGAGAACTTTCGTAGTAAGGCAAAACATTTATCATTGAATCTCCCAAACTGCTGAAACTATCGGTGTTTGGCTCCCCTCCCAAGCTGCTAGAAGTATCAGAATGCTTCGGTTTCTCATCGATCGACACTTCTGAACTCTCAGAGAGCTTTTCCTGGCTTTCAAAGGTTTGTTTTTCAGGAATAGTGGAAGCGTTAGACATTGTACTGTCAGCCATGTTGTCAAATGTTGTCAAAATTACGAAGTTATCTTCCACATCTTTTACTGCCTCGTTTTCTGGCTTTGTTGCCATGTCTGGAACCAGTTGAGGTAGACTGAGGCGCTATACGATACAAAAACCTAAATTAGACCAAAAAACAACAGACTAGTATGTGACTGAAGCAAACCCATTCTGAGCTTTCATTATCTGCAACATCATCAGAGACAGTGTTTACAAGTAAATAACATCTTAACCCAGTCACACGCCCTACTTATTTTTTTACTTGTCTGACGCCAGACAATTTTACTCATCAATGGGGAAGCTCTGCAGCTTAATGGGTTAACCAAAAAATCTGACAATGTCTCTAATTAACCCATTGAGCTGCAATCCGTCCTTCTTTTTTTTCACTTGTCTAAGGGACGGACCATTATTTTTTTGGAGGGGGGGGAGGACATTTCGTCAACGCAAACAATTTTTTTTGGTGCTGTTGTCGTTGCAAACAATTTTTTTGCGCCTGCTTCCTTCTGCAAACAATTTTTTTGTCCATCTGATTGCTGTGGATTTCATTATAAATTGATATATATAGTTTAATTTGTGCCCGATTACACTATTGCATGTGTGATCAGGGCCGTAGGAAGCTCTTTTCGATTGGGGGGGGGGGGCTGAAAGCGGGGACCGAAGACCCGAGGAAATTTTTAAATTTAGAGTCTCTGAAATGCCATTTCCTGGACTTTGGGGAAGATTTGACAGAATTCTGATGGTCAGAAAACAGCGAAATTTACGATTCTGTAGTACTAAATGGGCGAAGGCGTATTTAATTAACTTTATATTGGATAAGTTGCAGGAAAGTATGGGTAATATCTTCATTCTTTGCAGTTTGTCATGAATTAAATGATAAAGGTCTGCATGATTTTGAAAAATGAATAATTATTAGCAAATTGTTGTGGGGGCTGCAGCCCCCCGCCCCCGGTTGCTACGGCGCTGGTGATCGAACAACATGTGGTGTTGTCAGAAGTATAAATTTAATATGTAAACAGACATTTAATAGTTTTTTTGGTATACTGGTCTGGGCCTTTTTTAAAGATTTTCCCGTGTGAGGGGGGGGGGACCTTTCTGTGAGATAATATATTAGAGGAGGATAGGAATGGCTGACAGCCACAGGGTCTGGGGGCATATTTCCCCAGAAAATTTTTGAAATTTGAAGCCCTGAAATGCCATTTCCTGCATTCTGAGCATTTAAATTTGCTCTAAAATTTATGCTAAGTATACTTGTATTTGAAATAAAAGAAGGAAAAAACGCACAAAAAATAAAAAATTATTAACAATAATTTATCATCATTACTTAGTGCCAGGTAGAAAAACGTAACAATTTAAATCGATTTTGTTAAACAAGGAGAAAGGATAAAGCCTAAAACTTACTTTTTGTTTATCAATTTGTTATTTTTCGCTGGTTTGTTTGTGTAAATTTAGGAAAAAGGGAAATGAAAAGGAAAATGTGATTTCGTGAGGGGGGCATAAGGCAGACATCCCCCCACCGCTTGTATGTTAAAAAAGGCCCTGATACTGGTCCTCTCATTATTTACGCTACACAATGTCTTACACCAGTACTTGTCCAATTACCTATTTTATACAAAAAATACCAAAAAATACAACCCCCCCCCCCAAGAAATGACTGTATTAAACAGATTAATATTTAACCCATATGTAGATTGCAACATGTGTCCAGCGTCTCCCATCCCAGGGCTTTGGAGTGAAGACCCTGGGTATGTTGGTGAGCACTCTGTTCATTGTCATTAACCTTGGTTGATGTTGCATAATCTCATTAGCTTGCAAACTATTTTTTTCCTCTTTTCTACGTGTGCAAACAATTTATTTGCACTTTTTTGTCTTTGCAAACATTTTTTTTAAGAATTTTTCATCCCCTCCCCTCCAAAAAAATAATGGTCCGTCCCTAACGCCAGACGATTTTACTCGTCAATGGGAAGCTCTGCATCTTAATGGTTAAATATGCATGCTAAGTTGAACTAGTGTTGCTTTGTTATTTAACTCAAATGCTAGATGATTTTACTCATCCATGTCTCTAAACAATTCAATTGCAATTAATTTAATTGATGAGCAGTCACAGTTGCAGTTTCGGCTGCAATATCATGAGCATTTTCGGCCATTTATATATAATACAATGGCTACTTTGCCTTATTATGCACCTATCATTGTTTTCCCCCTGAGGGGGGGTGCGGGCGACCCAGGGGACTTTGACCACACTATGAAGCCCTAGTGAGGGGAATTTGACCTATGCATCAACTCCCATAGTCGGGAAATTTTGACATCCGCCATCTTGAAAGTTTGCGCGGTTTTGACATTGAAAGGCCTGGTAACAAGTATGGCGGAGAAGCACGATCAAGTTTCATCGAAAAAGGTATTTTATAGCCTTTTATACACAGTGTCTCAATTTTTACCAAGTTTGAACCAGTATAGACTGTATGTTCGCATTGGAAAACATGTGTGTGCCTTGTTATCTTAGGAATATAGTGGGGAATTTTGACAGCCATTCCTTGCCCAACAGTGGGGATTTTGACGACAAAATTTGAAAAATGTCAAAATTCCCGTGGGTTGCCCGCACCCCCCCCTCAGGGGGAAAACATTGATAGGTGCATTAATTGATCTTATTGCGTTATACCCAACACAGTTACCATGTTGTTTCAATATATATATATATATAGTGTTAAAATCTATACTTTATCTAAAAGACTTATTAGATATTACCATACCTCCTTTTAAAATCGACGCCCAAAATATCCTTTCAACCGGCTAGATGTCAATTGCTGTGTATAATACTGTAGAACAAAACTATTTCATCGAAGCTCTAGCTGCGTATTTTAACTTGCTCCAAACCAATCGAATGGCCATGTTTATATTATTTCAAGGGAAAATTCCAAAATATAAAATTAAGTCATTCTCCAATATATCGTATAAAAATTTTGCAACGTTGTCAATTTCCTACTTTCCTCCGATTTTTTTCCAAAAACTGCATTTCATATGATGCAAATCTCCAAGAATTAGCTAAAACCATTTAGAACGAAACGAGGTTTCCCGGAAAGAGCATAAAATCGCGGAAATGGACCTTTCCCCTTATAACTAAAATTTCGATCTAGACAAAAATTTCATCACAGCTTGAAAGAGCATCACAAAATTAGTAATATTCCAAAGTTTTGTTGCAAAATGTTGTAAAATGCGTATAATATAGCCTTGCGAAGTTTGCCGTTTTTCAGTCATTTTGTATTACAAACGGGAAATTGACATACGATTCGGGTGTTGGGGCTGCAATTTCCCGTTTGTAATGCAAAATGACTGAAAATTGCAAACTTCGCAAGGCTCTATTTTCCTCATTTTACAACATTTCGCAACGAAACTTTGGAATATTACTAATTTTGTGATGCTCTTTCAAGCTGTGATGAAATATTTGTCTAGACTTGCCTAGATCAAAATTTTGGTTATAAGGGGAAAGGTCTATTAGCGAAGTTTTCCGGTTTGTTGTACCCTGGGTGCCAGAGCCTCTTGTGATAGAAGTGAGGACACCACGAGGAGGCTCTGGTCACACGAGCATCAAGCCTCACTTTGGTGAGTTCAATATTTGAACTCTGTTTGTGATTGGTCAATATTTATGCGAGTCTTTTTATTGGTTAACCGATGAGCGTCAGTTAACCAATGAAAAGACTCGCATAAATTTAGACCAATCACAAACAGAGTTCAAATATTGAACTCACCAAAGTGAGGCTGGATGCTCGTGTGATCAGAGCCTCCTCGTCGTGTCCTCATTCAATCTCGTTCCCCGAGCCTGCGATCCTCGGGAAGGAACGCGAGGCTCTGGGATAATCCGTTGCCGGAAGCCAGGAATCCTGGCTAAGATTGAACTACGCATTCCATATCAATGGCCAATCAGATTCCTCCCTGAAACGGATTATCCCAGAGCCTCGCGTTCCTTCCCGAGGATCGCAGGCTCGGGGAACGAGATTGGTACTCATTCTATCACAGGAGGCTCTGGCACCCAGGGTAGGTTTGTTGTGGCTTTCGCTTTCATCTTTGTGGGTACCTTTTCTCGTACCGGCAAAATGCTCCTTTCTCTGCGTTTAAAAATCACAAATAAAAACACTTATTTAAAGCATAAAAGAGTTTTTATATGGTTGTGTTTAAACAGTTTCAAGAGAAGGCATTTTAAAGCGAATAAAGAGTATTAATGAAAATAAAATAGGAATTTACATGTAACAGGGTCAACCTTCCGGTAGTGGTTTTTTAAGCCCCGTTTACACTACGCTCAATTTTTGGTACGGCACGGATAAAATTGGTACCCGTACCACTTTTTTGGTTCTTGGACTACCTATTTAGGTAGTCCAAAGCCCCGTTTACACTACACTCATTTTTGGCACGGCACTCTTAAATAATGGCACGCGGACCATTTTCTTGAAAAATCAGCATCGTTTACACTACAAATTTTGGCGGGCCATCAAGACGCACTAGCACCCCTACTCTTGAATACGGCCCGCTTAAATACTGCGCCCTTAAATCAAACTTCAGCGGTTAAATTCTTAAAGTAAAATTCGCGGGCATTTTAAAAAATGGAGGATGTAAAAACAGCAAATTCGGCACTTGTTTGGTATTTTTATGTGACAAAACGGAGACGTTTACGCTTTGCAAAATTTAAAGATAACCGTGTATGTAGAATAGCGCTTCACAACATAAATAGAAAAGGTTTTTAAAAAAGAATTCACTGAAACTGCATGTACTAGCTTTTTTTCATCGCCAAAGAACTAGAACACTGTGGATACACCCACGAACACAGATCTGGTTTGAGATGGTGGACGACATCTACAACGACGAGCTATGGTATACGTATGCTAACTTCAGAGTTACGAAAGAAACGTTTACATTTATTCTCAGAAAGGTTGAGCCCGAAGAAGCTTATGAAAATACACATCTTCGAGAAGCAGTTTCAGGCTTTCAGCGAAGCGTCGACTGGCAGTTACATTATATTATCTAGCATCCACGGCTGAATACCGCACAATTGGCAACTTATTCCGAGTTTCACGGTAGTTTATGTGCCAGTGCATTAAAGAAGTATGTCATGCAATAGCAAAGCAGTTTCCAAATCATCAAATGTTATCAGCTTCCCTATAAGGGTGATGACCTCTGCGAATCATTCGAGGTTATGAAGAGACATGGAGCTTTCCCATGTGTGCGGGCGCAGTAGATGGAACTCACATACCGATACTGGCACCTAACAAAAATCACACAGATTATGTCAACCGTAAGGGGTTTCATAGCGTCCTTATGCAGGCTGTCGTAGATTGTAATTATATATTCAGGGACGTAGTTATCGGTTGGCCGGGAAGCGTACATGATGCGCGGGTTTTCTCCAACTCAGCCATTTTTGCAAAAGGAAGGGATAACTGCCTTTTCCCAGATGACCTCAATAGGGAAATATGTGGGGTGGAGAAAGCACCGGTAATTCTTGCGGACCCGGCCTATCCGCTGTTATCATAGGTGTTAAAGGGCTACCCTAGGAACGAGGCAACAAGAAGTCAACGTGTTTTTAACTGTCGTCTTAGTCGTGCATGAATGACGGTAGAAAACACCTTTGGTAGGTGAAAAGGAAGATACATCAGATTCAAAAAGCGGGTGGACATGGATGTAAGTACTCTGGCACATGTTGTACTGGGGCCAGTTGTATAAAAAAGTGATTAAAGTTAACTATGGTTAAGTGCAAACGTCATCCAATAAGAAGCGCCTATTTGAAAGTTAATCACTATTTAACTACAAAATAGTGATTAAAAAAGTGATTAAGAGTTTTATACAACCTGTCCCAGGCCTCCTGCCGTGCGTGTTACATAACATACGCGAAGCTCTTAAAAATGAATTTCTTCCTGATTGGGCTGACGCTGAAGTACTTATTGAGGAACCAATACTTCCAATTGATGAAACGCCAGCACCAGACGCAGAGCTAATCCGTGATGCTTTAGCTGAATATTTCACCAGTTAGACATAAGTACAGTTTTAGGGACGGAAGTCGGTGTATGCGGTATATTTCAAAGCTAAGTTTGATGACTATACAATATAACATATTCCGAATTATTATGCACTCAAACATCTGGGTTTAATATAATTTAGTTACCCTCACTTGTGGTCCATGAATATGGGATATACAGGGTGTATAAAAAAAACGGAGTCGTCCTAAATATCCTTATTTCTATCGTAAAATAAACTACCATAGTTTCGTTTTGTGCTCAATTTAAAGCTTGTTTTTTCATCTTTCGAATGAAGAGTCTCTTGAAAATTTTGAACTAAGGCTAATCGCAATAAAAAAAATTTAGTACAAGCGCTCGTTTTTAGATGCTTCGAAATATTAATCTGGGCTGGGCCTGGGGATTTAATTAAGGTAGTTTGCTAAAATTTAGGAAGTTGTTGTTTAAAACTTTACAATCACCATTTATTATGCCAAAGCTAACAATTCCGGAAAGAACATTCATTGTTGAAAAGTATTTCGAAACAAAAAGCGTTGTTGCAGTTTTAAGACAATTTCAAATAGCTTTTCCAGGACGTAATCTTCATCGAGCGTTTGGCGTAATGTCAACAAATACCGACTGCATGCATTGAATGGAAGAACCACCCCATAAAGTTTAAATCGAAATAAAGGAAACTCGGGAAGAAGAAGAGTTGTCTTGGGTATGAGACAAAGAACGAACTTGTGTGAACTTAGAAATGGAGGCCACGTTGAGTAAATGTGTACTTCCAACTTATTTTTTGGAACGTTTAAATAAATTGTGAGTTCAACACATCTACGTTTTTCAATTTTCCAAATGCACTTACTTAAATTGACACAGCTCGCCAGCTAGAACTCCAAATTTTATAAAATAAAGTATATAAAATAGCCGAAAGATCGCGATTTCGAAAGAATGCAAGTATAAACGTCTAACTTTCATATTCGCTTTGAAATTTACACTTCATGTGAGGACTCCTTCACATTGCTCCTGTAGAGGTGCCTTGAATTAGCCTTTCTCACGCCACCATTTCTGGCTGGCATTTCAGCCGACGTCCGCGAGATAAGTCCACACAACAGCGACTTTTTATAATTTCTTGTACGATTGATGGTAAATTTGCTTTGTAAATGGTTAGTTTATTTTGAAAAATTGCTTTTCACATTGTTTTAATTGTCTGCATTTGTCAACGAGAATTGGATGCCACCCAAAAATGGCTGATAATTAGATACTTTTATCTAATTATCAGCACTCTATATCAGATATATATCGGCACAATTAGGTGTAAGTAGGGTTTGTTTTTGACGCCATCTTGTTTTCTTTTTCAAGGAATACGCATGCGTAATTAGTTTTAGGGCCGCGTGCTACATTTTAAGCGGGCCGAGACTACCTCCTTGAAGAGGTCTCGGCCCGTCAAACAATTATGGCACGCGGACCCTTCATTTTGCGTTTACACTGCGAAAATTAAGAGTGCCGTGCTTAAAAATTTGGTCCGCGTGCCATTATTTAAGAGGTAGTCCAAGAACCAAAAAAGTGGTACGGGTACCAATTTTATGCGTGCCGTACCAAAAATTGAGCGTAGTGTAAACGGGGCTTAAAATACCCTTATACCCGAGTTTTAAACCGGGTTTTATAATATCCGGTATTCAAGTATTTTCATTTATGAGAAACAGCATTTTCAGTTTGCAAGAATTGCGCTCTACAGCAAAATGGAGCCAACACAAAGCGCTGATTCTGTTGACATTCATGTAACTGAGCTATTCGGCGTCCAAGTTTTGCGAAAATATGTCAAAAATGAGCAAATTATTTCTGACAGGAAACTAGGCATTGGAGTACGCATTTTGCTTGGAGCTTTACCAGTTTGTATGGTTTTGTCTACCATCATTTGTGCTGGGCTAATGATAATGATTTTATATAACCCCCCTCCTTTGGTTAAGGAATTGTCGGAAAGCATTTTGATGAATTTTGGAAAAGGCATTATACTTCGGCCTTAAAAGACTTGCAAGAGAAGCTTGGGGTTTTGGAAGGGGATAATGAAAGATTGAAAAAAGAGGGGCTGGAAAATTTCACAAGGGAAGACCACTAGGTTCGTGCCGACTTGGCGGCTGTCACGAAAGAAAAGGAGACATTGTTAATGAGATCGTCATCAGCTAACGAGTCAATACGGTCGTTAAAGGAGGCAGACATAAAAAATCAAGGCAAGATAGATGAGTCCTAACAGAATCTTGAAATATTCATGAAAGAAAATCGTGAATTTCAGAAATCGGTTTTAGATTTAGAGAAACAAGAGAGAAACCTACAGAATGATTTGGGCAAGTGTGAGAAAAGAGTCAAACAGTTGAACGGTGATATTAAAAAGCTTCAAGATGAAAAATCTGAGCTAATGACGGCGCAAAAGAAAGGTGATGCGGAGCTTTTACAAAAACTAACAACACATTAACTGACTGTAAGAAGAGCAATGCAAACCTTACTGCAAACCTGACGACTTGCCAATCCGATTTGAAAGACTCAAACACGAAGTTGCAAGACTCACAACAGAAGAATGAAGCTTTAGAACAAGATAAGGATACACTAACCAAGGATCTAAGTGCAACAAAGTTCACTTTGGGTAATTGTAAGAATAAGAACATGGATCACGAGGTCCGAAGTTTGGAATTGCTTCAAGAAATTGAAGGATTGAAAAAAGAATTAAAAGCATGTTAAGATATATGAAACTGTTGCTTAATTGATACAAAAGTATTTTACATGAGATTAGACAATGTTTTCTAGCTATTTCTATTACAGATAGTTTGATAAGTGAAGTATTTAGACAATCTGTTACAAACTTGGAAGGAAGATTTAAGCAGCCATCCTTGAATAATATACTAATGATTACATATATCCTTGATCTATCACATTCAACCAAGTCAACAGTTGACAATTATAGACTAACGATTTTTAATTCATAACATAACTCAATTAATGTGTTCAATTATTACATAATCATTTCTTGTTTTTGTGTGTGTTCTTTTTGCACATGTACTATCGAGGCCATACCTATCTGTGCTCAGACTACCACACGGTGTTAGCAAAGGAGGGTGATCGGGCAGGGCATAGCCAGCCCCAAATGAGTGGGGGTCTAATCATCGAATACACAGAACAACTAGGGCCATCTGGGGCATGGTCCCCTGGAAATTTTGTCTATTTTTAGGGTTTGTGAAACACTATTTCATGCATGTTAGACATGTATTATGACAATCTGAAAACCGCAGATTTTGGTATATTTTATGTCATACATGAAAGCATTACGAGGTTATGTCCACCTACCAAAATTGGTACTGAAGAAAGTAGGGGAGGAGATCCTGAAATCCCCCCCCCCCCCCTGGGG